TCAAAGAATCAAGAAAGAAAAGATTTAGGAGCAACAGAGAGTGTTCCCTATTGCATTGTACTATAGCTGATAATGTGGTTGCTTTTCCTCTTTCGTCTCTAAGAAGACCAGAACACATCATTAGATAGATATAGTTGTTGTTAGTTGCCATTGAGTCAGCACCAACTCATGGTGCCTTTATGTATAGCAGAACAAATGTTGCTCAGTTCTGCACCATCTTCATGATTCTTGGCATGGTTGAGTGCATTGTTGTGGCTACTGTGTCAATTCATCTTATTGAGAGTTTCCCTCATTTTCATTGGCCCTCTACTTTACCAAACATGATATCCTTTTTTAGTGATTGGTCTTTCCTGATGATGTGTCCAAAATATTGAGTCAAAGTCTCACCATCCTTACTTTCAAGTAGCATTCTGGTTATATTTTTTTCAAAGATTGATTTGTTTGTTGTTTTGGCAGTCCACAGTATATATCCTATATATTATGACAGATAGTGGCTATAGAACTCCTAAATATTCTAGGAGGCCCCAAGCAAGGAAGTATCTTCTGCAGAGCTCACATCCTCCCAAATCTATATCCCACTTCTCTGTGTCCCAGGCTTCCTTAAAGTCTCATCACCTTGCCAGAATGATTCAGGATGACTTGCTCACTTCATACGGCCCCCAAATGTCCATTTTCTTCCTCCCCTAAAGGCTCCAGAATTCCACTTTTGTGTCTCAAGCCTTTCCATAGGGACAGGCCATTGCCTAGGTCAAACTCCAGGAAACTGCATCTCTTTCTGTGATCCATTTAAATTGGTACTGTCAGTCTTTTTGACCCAAAGGAAACTGCTTCTACTTGGTCCTTCTATGCCTTATCATCAGCCGCAGATACCAGCTGGAACAGCCTTCTTCTGCCTCAGAGAGGTGCAACCACATTAAAACCACCTACAGTCAGAGATTCTCTCACTGGCTAAGTGATCTATCCCTAAGTGTCCAGAATCTGCTCACTCACAAAAGTCTCTGAATTGAGAGTCAGGCTGTTCCTTTGGGCCATCAGAAGGAATCTCATCAGAAACTATAAGACTAAATTGGGTATTTGAGGAGGTTCCCAAGCCAACATGTCCTCCTGACATCCAAGGAGCTAGCCAAGAAGACCCTGGGCACTAGAAAGACTGTTGATGTAAAACCTGCCCCCAGGTTTAAGAGTAAGAGGTTCTCTTGGTGAGTGCCCTGATGAGCAGATACTGGGAACACCCTGTCACTCAGAAGAGGTGTGCAAGTCCCCATTCATGGCCTCAAGGTAACTTTTAAGGAGTCTATTTTAACGTAGGTGTAGGTAGAGTGACCCTTTGGCCTTAGGTCCCTCCAAAGTCTCCAAGAGACCCTGCAAAGGTAAGTCACCTCAGGATTCCTAAGCAGCTTCCAGATTTTCTGGACAGTGGGCTCACTGCGATTAAATGGGTGCCTCTCTTCCTAAGGCAGCTGCAGCAGCTTAGTTTTACATTGTTAAAGGTTAATGAAGGACACTGATCTGAGGGGAGCACCCCAAAGACTCTTGACTTATTGTGAGAGAATGCAGTGGGTGAGGCTGCACCAGTCTCCCACAGTAACCCAGCCCTGCAGCCCCCAAACCCTGCCACGAGAAAGATACTCTGGGCCTCACAGATACTGAGAGATGGCCAGGTCATGGCCATTCTTTGTGGCACTAACCCACTGCTGTCGAGTCAATTCTGACTCATAGTGACCCTATAGGACAGAGTAGAACTGCCCCCATAGGGTTCCCAAGGAACAGCTGGCGACCTTTTGGTTATGGTTAACAGCTGTAGCTCTCCTCCAGGACTCCTTTATATATTAAAAAACGGAAGTAGACCAAAACATGATTAAAAATCATAGTAGTATTTAAGTGTGTATATTTTACAAATCCATGCTTACTTACAACAACAAAACATTCTATGCAACACAGTTGTCCTACTCACAAGACAAGTGCAGGAATTATAAAGCATTCACTCAGAGTGGACCCTTGGCAGTGTATGATTTATGGTGGACATTTCCTTCTTTAAGTTTTATCAGAGTCCTTGTCTGTATCACCTCATTGGGAGATAACTCCGGAAGCCTACATTTGTGCTTTGAACTTTCAGGCAGGGTTTGAGAAGTCCTAATTTAAGGTATACCATGTTTTGTCAGTCTCCTCAAAAGAACTTGTGTTCCATTTGCACTGAGAACATTGTGACCTTGACTGTCACTTGAGAAGAATAAACCTACACTCCTCCACATCAATCAGCTGTCATATCCTTCTCCAAATTATCTCCAAAATCCATTCCTTTTTCCATTCTATCTGACACAACGTCCAAATTACATAACACCCTATTTCACAGAACATATCATGGATGTTAAGCGACACATGACTGTACTTGAGTGCAACAGGTTGAATAGTGTTTCCCCAAAATTCATGTCTACCTGGCAGCTGAGAATGTGATCTTACTTGGAAATAGGATCTTTGCAGATGTAATTAGTTAGGATGAGATCATACTGGATTAGAGTAATCCTTAAACTCAATGACCAGTATCCTTATAAGACAAGGAAAGGACACAGAAATACACACAGGGAAGAAGGCCATGTTATGATCAATGCAGAGCTTGGAGTTATGTTGTCACAAGCCAAGGGGTGCCTGGGGCCACCAGAAGCTGAAAAAGGCAAGGAAGGATTATCCCCTGGCACCTCGGGAGAGAGCATGGCTCTGCTGATACCTTGATTTTAGACTTTTCACCTCTAGAACTGTGAAAGAATAAACTTCTGTTGTCTTAAGCCTCCCAGTTTATGGTACTTTGTTATGGCAGCCTTAGGAAACGAATACAAATGGATACGTGTAAAGTGAATTTTTTATCCCTTTGGTCTTGTATGTGAATTTTAAAAACTGAGGTACTGGCATAACCGAAATAAGGTAACTCCAGGCCTAAATTAAAAACTCCATGTGAATCAAACTGCAGTCTGACCTAGAAACTTCTGCTTTTGCTGGAGACAATTCAGTCTTTTTGTCAAAGTTTAACTGCTTATAACACGAAGCAAGGGTCACGTTCTAGAAACTGTTAAGCGGCATCTGATTAAGAATGTTGATGTAAAATGTAGAACAAAATTCTAACTCACAAAAAAAGACTAGACTTACCGGCCTGACAAACTGGAGATATGCCAAGAGTATGGCCCCCAGACACCCTTTTAGCTCAGTAATGAAGTCACTCCTGAGGTTCACCCGTCAGCCAAAGATGAGACAGGCACATAAAACAAAAAGAGCCTAAAGGGGCATACCAGCCCAAGGGCAAGTACTAGAAGGCAAGAGGGGACCGGAAAGCTGGTAATAAGGAACCCAAGTTGAGAAGGGAGAGTGTGGACATGTCGTGGGATTGTTAACCAATGTCATAAAACAATATGTGTACTAACTGTTTAATGAGAAGGTAGTTTGTTCTGTAAAGTACAATAAAAAAAAGAATGTTTAGGCAGCTGGTCTTAGAGAAGATACTTTGGTCAACAGGAGGTTAGGAAATAGAATTGGAATCAATAATGTTAAGAAAGAGCCTGTCAATATGGGAGAAGTCAGCACAACATGACCAAGGTAAGAGAGGACACTGAGAGGAACGCAAGAATAAAGCTCAACTAGGGTAACTACTGTGTGGTTTAAACTCAGCAAAGGTGTGCATCAGGCTTGTATCCTTTCACCATATCTATTCAATCTGTATGCTGAGCAAATAATCCAAGAAGCTGGACTATGTAAAGAAGAATGAGGCATCAGAATTGGAGGAAGACTCATTAACCTGTGTTATGCAGAGGACACAACCTTGCTTACTGAAAGTGAAGAGGACTTGAAGCACTTACTGATAAAAATCAAAGATTACAGCCTTCAGTATGGATGATATCTCAACATAAAGAAAACAAAAATCTTCACCACTGGACCAACAGGCAACATCATGATAAATGGAGAAAAGATTGAAGTTGTCAAGGATTTCATTTTACTTGGATTCACAATCAACGCCCATGGAAGCAGCAGTGAAGAAACTAAAAGACGCATTGCATTGGGCAAATCTGCTGCAAAAGACCTCTATAAAGTGTTGAAAAGCAAAGATGTCACCTTGAAGACTGTCAGTGATGGGATAATATCAATACGCCTACAAGGAAGACCAGTTAATAGGACTATTATTCAAATTTACGCATCAACCACTAAGGCCAAAGATGAAGAAATTGAAGATTTTTATCAGCTTCTGCAGTCTGAAATTGATCTACCATGCAATCAGGATGCATTTATAATTACTGGTGATTGGAATTGAAAGTTGGAAACAAAGAAGGATTGGTAGTTGGAAAATATGGCCTTGGTGATAGAAACAATGCCAGAGATCACCTGATAGAATTTTGCAAGATCAACAACTTCTTCACTGAAAATATCTTTTTCAACAATATAAATGGCGACTATATATACTAGGACCTCACCGGATGGAAAACATTGGAATCAAATCAACTACATCTATGGAAAGAGACATTGGAAAAGCTCAATATCATCAGTCAGAACAAGGCCAGGGGCCAACTGTGGAACAGACCATCAATTGCTCATATGCAAGTTCTCTGTTAACTCTTTGTGAATCTGTAAGTTAAATCCAAGATACAACCTTGTCAAGAGAAAAAGCAATCACGCAGCTGTATTGACTCAATTTATTTCTGACAGGATCCCTTGTTAAACAAACCTCAGGATGTCATGTTATCTCTGAAATATTAACAAGTAAGCTTACTTTTACCGACTGTTTAAGATTACAGTTTAACTAAAACAACCTCGTAACCTTTGTCATGCACCCTGTCCCTCCCCTATGTGTTTGAGAGGACAAATTTCTTTTTAAACCGTTACTGTTCTCCCTGCAATTTGGTGCATTACAGCATCCTGCGTGGATGTCTGTGAATGTTTCTCATTTCGAGAAATGTTTTTATTCCTTCAATAAACCTTTTTGTTTTTAATTCTAGGGCAACATCAGTCTGGCAACTCACTTGGATGGTCCCTTAACACTCTCGTTTTCTTTCTTCTCATCTTTTCAGGTTTCTCCTTGAATGGTACAAGGGCTGAAGCAAACCACAAAATGCTTCTGCTCCGTGATTCCCCGAAGCTGCTGGACCTATTCAAGTCCTTGGCCAGGAGCATTCCCGAGTCCCTGAAGGTAAGGGAGGAGCAGAAGGTCCTAAGCAGACTCATAATTCTTGTCCTTCCTCCTCACGGTTCTGCGGAGGGTTGGAGCTGCAGCAGAGGATGGGGGCACATTTAGGGCTGCTGCATCTCCCCAGGAGGTGGTGCTGGGCCCATTCTACAGATTCTGTCACTCACTCAGAGAGGTAGTGGAGAATGGTGGCTAAGAGCATGAGTTTTGGAGCCAGACTTAATGGGTTTGCATTCCAAGTTTGCTACTTTCTTGTTGTGTGGCCTTGGGCGTGTTACTTTACCTTTCTGTGTCTTGATCTCTTCATCAGTGAAATGGGGATAATATAAACATGTACTTACTTCTTACAGTTATTGTGAGCATTAAATAAATCCATACAATGTAAGTGCTAAGAAGACAGAAAGTGCCTTGCTAGTGATAACTCGCATTATCACGAGGATGTGTGTGAGTTCTGCCTGCCTGCCTTCCATCAGTAGTAGAGACACTGCTCACCTCATTCCTGTCACTTACTTGGTCCCTGCTACTCTCTCTCTCGGCCTTCATTTCTCTCTTCCTCATTTCATCTAGGTCTCCATCTCTGAGGATGCCAGTGCAATCTTGCCAGCCTCCTCTGGTCCCTTTGCTTCTCCTTCAGGTGTATGGCTCTATTTACCACATCAACCATGGAAATGCCTTCAACATGGAGGTGCTGGTGGACACCTGGCCCGAGTATCAGACAGTCATTATCCGGCCTCAGAAACAGGTATACCCACAGGCCTAGAGGGGTGGGGCCAATCAGCTTTACCTTTCTGTACCTTGATCTGTGAAATGGGCATAATATACTTAACTTCTTAAAGTTATTGTGAACATTATATAAATCCATACACTATGAGTGCTAAGAACATAGAAACTAGCCCAGTTCAGACTAACCTAACCAACCAGTCGCTGTTGAGTTGATTTTGACTCATGACGATCCCATGTCTTTCAGAAGAGAACTGCGCTCCAGAGGGTTTTCATGGCTGTGACCTTCAGAAGGTCACAGATCACCAGGCCTTTCTTCCAAGGCTCCTCTGGGTGGGGTGGAACTGCCAACCTTTCAGTTAGTAGAGGAACACTTAACCATTTGCACCACCCAGGGACTCCTCAAACTAACCAGGGCTGCTTATAAGGTAGAAGAAAAGTTGGAGCTATTTAAAGGCACCTTTTTCAGTACTCGATTCCTCAGATGAGCTCCACATCTTCATCCTTCCTGCCAAAGTGCAGGATGTCAGGAGGAGAATGAGTAGGGCAAGGACAGCACTGAAACCTCAGCTCCAATCTGATGGAAAGGTGGCATCGGTCACCTGCAGGGGCTGAAGGAATGTCAATCTCGAGGGAAAGGCAAGTGTCCAGGATATCAAAACAGTGACTTAAAAATGGCACCAAGGCAGAAGTCCACAGGTAAAAACTGCGTTTCTGGGACTAGGGCAGGGACTCATAATTACTGTGTCACTATCTGGAGGCACTTCATCTGTTAGTGAATGCAATCCACAGAACAGCCCTATCAAGTGAACATTATTGTTGTTAGGTGCCGTAGAGTCAGTTCCAACTCATAACGACCCTATGTACAACAGAACGAGACCCTGCTTGGCCTGGGCCATTCTCGTAATCACTGTTATGCTTGAGCTCATTGTGGCAGCCACTGTGTCAATCAGTCTTGCTGAGGGTCTTCCTCTTTTTTGCTGGCCCTCTTAAGTGAACATTGATTAAGTGAACATTAATATATCTGATTTTGAGATGAGAAAACTATAGCTGAGAGATATTGTCATGTCGCAACAGGAAACTACAATGTTAACACATTGCCTTTAGATTTGGCTTGTGTGACCTGAATTCAAGTTCACCTCTGCCAGTTTTACTAGCTATGTAACCAAAAGCAGGTCTCTGAGCCACAGTTTTGTTATCTGTAAAATGGGATGATAATAATATCATCCTCAGATTACATTAGGTTTACACGAGACTCTGTATATAAAAGATGAGGTACATAGCACAGAATCGTAAATATCAGGTACCATCATTATTGGCTGAGATCATACAAGGAGTGAGAGATTAAGCTGAAATGCAAACCTAGGTCTACTTTTGCCCTTCAGCCTCTGAACTATCTGTGTCCTATGGACATGCTCTCGGCACACAGAAGCTCTGAGGCTAGCCCAGCTTCTCTAACAGTACAGTGGCTGAGTTCCCAAATAAGATATTGCTCTAGGTCAAGATTAGCTTGCAAAATGGGTCAGGACTGGGGTGCACAAAGTGGTCTCAGCTTGAGGAGAGGAGGGGTACAGAGGTCTGGAGTCATGTTGGGTACACTCCCTCATCTTCCTTCTCTGTGCGTTCTCTAGGAATGTCCATTTGATCTCCTGGCTTCCTGATAATCTGAGTTTGAGGAGTAATGCTCAGTTTATTAACTTTCCAATTTCCTGTAATGCTAATCAATGTCCTCACTCATACAAACACATACAGGGGTATTTGTGGTCTCTTCTTTCATAACTCTGTGATGTCCTTTAACATGTCATGGGCATCTCTTCAGGTCAATCAATACAGCACTAACTCATTCTCTTTAATAACTCAATACAAGTAGTCCCCACTTATCTGAAAGGGATAAATTCCAAGCTCGCCCCCGTGAATGCCTGAAATCGCCGATAATACTAAACCCTATATATACTATGTTTTGTCCTATGCATACATACCTATGATAAAGTTTAATGTATGAATTAGGTACTGTAAGAGATTAACAGCAATAACTAATAACAAAATAGAACAATTATAACAATATACTGTAATAAAAGTTATGTGAATGTCGTCCCCGGGCGGGATGGAGCAGGACTTTGTGAAATTTCATCACACTACTCATTTCACATTTTTGGACCATGGTTGACCACTGGTAATTGAAACCTCAGATAAGGGAGGACCACTGTAATATTCCACAGAGTGAATGCACTATTATTCAGTCAACCTTTCTCCTATTGTTAAATTCAAATTGTTCACAGTTCTCTGCCACTGCAACCAGTGCTTCAGTAAACATCCATGTCCACATATCTTTCCATCTTGGAGCATTTTCTCAATAGGATTGATTCCCAGTAGTGGTATAACCAAGTAAAAGGGTAGGTGCATTTTAAAGTCTAACAGGCACTGCCAGATTTTGCTTCAAAAAGATTGCTGCAATGTTATTTCCATTACCACTAAATGGAAAAACTATCTCCTCATATTCTCACCAAACCTTAATGTTACCCTTCTTTTTAATTTATGCCAATCTGATGAATGAAAATCGACATCTCCCTGTAGATATAATTTGCATTTCCATGACTGCTGGTGAGATTAAATGTATTTTCATAAGTTTACTACTGGGGTCATTTCCTTTAACCACTTTTATGCAGGATTTTTGTGTAGTTCTTAAAACTCTGTAAAACCATTTTGAGTATTAGAGATACTAACACTTTGATGTATGCTACAAATTTATAACTTTTGAGTTTGTTGATTAGGAAGATTTCTCCCACTCCAAGGTTCTGCAAGCATATTTTTAATTTTTCTTATAATGGATAGATTTTTACTTTTTACATTTCAATCTTCATTTCATCTGGGATATATTATTGAATTTCATGAATTAAGAATTTTTATCCATTTCTTCCATATGTTATTGTTGTTGTTAGGTGCCATCAAGTCTGTTCCGACTCATAGTGACACTATGTACAACAGAACAAAACACTGCCTGATCCTGCATCATTCTCACAATATTGTTATGCTTGAGCCCATTGATGCAGCCACTGTGTCAATCCATCTCGTTGAGGGTCTTCCTCTTTTTTGTTGACCCTCTACTTAACCAAGCATGGTGTCCTTCTCCAGGGATTGATCCCTCCTGATAACATGTCCAAAGTATGTGAGATGTAGTTTCAACATCCTTGCTTCTAAGGAGCATTCTGGTTGTACTTCTTCCAAGACAGATTTGTTCTTTCTTTTGGCAGTGCATGGTATACTCAATATTCTTCACCAATGGCACAGTTCAAAGGCATCAATTCTTCTTCGGTCTTCCTTATTAATCGTCCAGCTTTTGCACGCATAAGAGGTGATTGAAAACACCATGGTTTGGATCAAGGCATACCTTAGTCCTTAAAGTGACATCTTTGCTTTTTAACACTTTTAAGAGGTCTTTTGCAGCAGATTTGCCCAATGTAATGCGTCTTTTGATTTCCGGATTGCTGCTTCCGTGGGTTTTGATTGTGGATCCAAGTAAAATGAAACCCTTGACAAAGTCAGTCTTTTCTCCGTTTATCATGATGTTGCTTATTGGTCCAGTGGTGAGGATTTTTGTTTTCTTTATGTTGAAGTGTAATCCATCCTGAAGGCCGTGGTCTTTGATCTTCATCAGTAAGTGCTTCAAGTCCTCTTCACTTTCAACAAGCAAGGTTGTGTCATCTCCGTAACACAGGCTGTTAATGAGTCTTCCTCCAATCCTGATCCCCCATTCTTCTTCATATAGTCCAGTGTCTCGGATTATTTGCTCAGCATGCAGAATGAATAAGTATGGTGAAAGGATACAACTCTGATGCACACCTTACCTGACTTTAAACTACGAAGTATCCCCTTGTTCTGTTCAAACGACTGTCTCTTGATCTATGTACAGGATCCTCATGAGCACAATTAAGTGTTCTGGAATTCCCATTCTTTGCAATGTTATACATAATTTGTTATGATCTACACAGTTGAATGCCTTTGCATAGTCAATAAAACACAGGTAAACATCTTTCTGGTATTATCTGCTCTTAGCTAGGATCCATCTGACATCAGCAATGATATCTCTCGTTCCACATCTTCTTCTTAATGCGGCTTGAATTTCTGGCAGTTCCTTGTCGATATACTGCTGCAGTTGCTTTTGAATGATCTTCAGCAAAATTTTACTTTTGTGTTATATTGATGATATTGTTTGATAATTTCTACATTCAGTTGGATCACCTTTCTTGGGAATAGGCATAAATATGGATCTCTTCCAGTCAGTTGGCCAGGTAGCTGTCTTCCAATTTTTTTGGCATAGATGAGTGAGCACTTCCAGTACTGCATCCGTTTGTTGAAACATCTCAGTTGGTATTCCGTCAATTCCTAGGGCCTTGTTTTTCACCAATGCCTTCAGTGGAGCTTCCATATAGCTACCTCATTATGTTAGCACTATTTGGTAAATAAATCATTCTGCTGAAACTGATATGAGTATTTTGTAGTATAACACATCTACATAGTTTTAGATCTATTTCTGTATTTGTTTCTAGTCTTTTCTTATGCTATTTCAGTGGCTTTATAGTAATTTTTATTATGTGATACTACTGATCTCTCTCCACTATTCTTTCACTTAATTTTATTTTCTTATGGGCGTATGGGAGTGCTGATGGTGCAGTGGTTTAGTGATATGGCTGCTAACCAAAAGGTTGGCAGTTCAAATTCACCAGCAGATTCCTGAAAATCCGATGAGGCAGTTCTACTCTGTCCTATAGGACTGCTATGAGTCGGAATCAACTTCAGGGCAATGAGTTTGTTTTTTGTTTTTTTTAATGGACGTATGAACTATCTTGACTTAAACTAATTTTTTCTGTTCTTTATCAACAACCCCAAGTACCTACTGCAATTGTGATTGGATTAACTTTGTTTTAACAATTGTGGAAGAATTAACATTTTTGGGATGCTAAATCTTTTCATCTAGAAACATGGCATGTATCTCTACTTGCTTGTTTCCTGTTTTATGCCATTTGGTAAAATTTTATTGTTTTCCTTGCTTAAGTTCTATGACTTTATCATTAAACTTATTCTTAGGTATTTTATGCTATTAGTCACTGCTTCTAATGAAATTATTTTTCCTTTTTGTTTTCTGAGTATCAGTACTTTCCTTTCAATTTTTATTGGTAAAGTTGTTGTTGTTGGGTTCCATCGAGTCCATTTCAACTCACAGCTGCCCTACAGATGGAAACACTTCCTGGTCCTGTACCATCCTCACAATCGTTGTTATGTTTGAGCCCCTTATTGCAGCCACTGTGTCAATCCATCTCATTGAGGGTCTTCCTCTTTTTTGATGACCCTCTACTTTACCAAGCATGATGTCCTCCTCCAGGGACCAATCTCTCCTGATAACATGTCCAAAATACGTAAGACAAAGTCTCACCATCTTCTCTTCTAAGGGTAAAGTGGAGAGTATTACTGGTAAAGTGGAAGGTCAGCAAAAATGAGGGAAACCCTCAATGAGGTGAACTGACACAATGGCCACAACAATGGACTCAAACATACCAACAATCATGAAGATGGCCAGGGCAGAGCAGCATTTCATTCTGTTACACATAGGCCTTGGAGTAGCATATAACCTTCTCTTATAATTCTTTTATTCCCTTCTCTGTCTCCTTTCTCATCCTTACTACTGTATGCTTTTTTTTATTATTATTATTTCTTTATTTTGTTTTCCCTTACCAGGGGTTTATCCTTTCACTGGCCATTTTAACATGAGCTTTTCATGTCTTGTTCTCTATTTCACTATTTTCAACTTTCATTTTTATTGATTATTTCTTTTGGTCATTTTGACACTCTTTTGATAATTTATTGAATAGTTAGTCCATTTTCAATAATTCCTTGATAATCAGGCCTCTTAAATATCTACTATTTTGAATTGATTAAGGTTTTGTTTTGGGACGTGTTAGGCAATTTGTATTTATAGCAGCATCCGCAAATTTAGGAACGTTTCTTTAAAATTAGTCACACTATTTTATGTTGATATTTTATATTTTCACTCTTTAACAGTATAATATCCAACATAATATGCTCACTGTTAAAACTCTCAACTCTCACACTTTTTGTTGATATTTTCTCTCAGAAACAGGTACGCATCCTATCTTCCTATCTCATTTTTCCATGGAATTGTTGGCTTGCCATAATAGGATTACAAGTCTCTTTCTTCCAAGTCCATGAGAATAATATCACATCAAATTGCCCAGATTGCTACCAAAAATTCCAATTGCTTTATTCTATTTTGTAGGTTTCTGGCTTTGAGTAAAGAATTACTAGTCTGTTAAGCTAATATTCTCTTGCTTTGGGCAAAGGCAATGTCTCATTCATGTTTGTATCCACTAGAGTATCTTGTCCAAGCCCTAAGCACTGTCCTTTCTCAAGAAATAAAAGTTGAAGAAAAAGTTCAAGGGAATCACCTGACTCTCTACCGTCCCATTCAGGAGATGACTGACGACAAGAATCAATACATAAACACATATTCTATATTCTCCAAAGAGCCTCAAAAACTACAGGAAATTCTGGAAAACTATGAGGTCATCAACTGGAAACAAATCCTCCAAATCCAAGGTAACAAGTGAAAGGCAATGAGCAACAACAGAGGTTCTCAAAGTGGTCTCCAACCAATAGCATTAGCATCACTTGGGAACTTGTTAGAAAAGTAAATTCTCAGGCCTACTGAATCAGAAACTCTGTGGAGGGGGCGGTGCAGAGGACAGCAACAATCTGTGCTGTAGCAAGTGTTTCAGTTGATTCCAATGTAAATGCAAGTTTGAGAACCACGAAGCAACTCCACTGATTTATTAATCCATTGGGAATGGCAGAAGCAGGGAACTTTGAATCACTGAGAGTCTGGCTTTCTGACTTCTCTTCCCAGGTTGTCAAGAAAGCTTAGGTGAGGGGATAAGAAGAGCTGCATTTTTAAAGTCTGTGAAAGTGAAATATGATGATGCACTCCTCTTTATAACAAAAGATATCCTGAAGTTCACTGTCTCCAATAACACCAAGCTTGAAAGCTGGGGTGAGACAGGCCACCCAGAAGAAGAGTATGGAAGGTACAAAAAGTCTTTGTTAAACTATCCTGTGGCTTTTCTTTAATAATATTTCTTATACATTTTTCTAATTCACTTACACTGATTTTGCACATAAGGAATGGATGAATTCATTCATTGGGATGAATAAAATATTCTCCGACTTTGTCAATAGTCAAACGGAACAACTTTGCAATGGCAGGCATCTTACAGAGGAGATGAGTGCCTATGAGCTCTAGAGTGAGACGGTATGCAGAAATGACAGGAGTGGGAATCAAAGTTTGTTTGTTTGTTTTTCACAGCGGGGATCCCAATTTTAAGTTTTCCCCACTGGACATCTCTCATTCTGGCCTGGTGAATGACTCCTGGAAACTGGGTCAGAATGAGAAAAGCCTGCTCTACATCCAGCGCTGCATACAGACCCAGCCAGCGTACTGTCTGCTGGGCCCAGAAGGGCACCCTGTCACCTGGGCCATCTTGCAACCCACTAGTGAAATGGGGGTAGCCTACACCTTGGATGGATATCGGAGAAGGGGCATCTTGAAGCAGCTGGTGGCACACTACCTAAAATTTCTGCGTCAGAAGAATATGCCATTTTATCTCTCTGTGGTGAAAGAGAATGAAGCAGCCCTCAGATTTGTGACACAGTTTGGTTTCTTTGAGGCCTCATGTGGATGGCACCGGTGGACCTGCTACCCACAGACATCCAGTCTCACTGGTTGAAATGATGAAGCTGTTTCGCTGTCTAGGCAAGTCCCCTCTTAATATAGAGGCAGAAGTTGCAAAACACCTCTCATTCACAAATGTTTATTAGGCATTTATGATGTACCAGGAGCTGTGCTAACATGGAGATGTGATGTTAAAAGAGACACAGCTGTCCTACTCATGGAAGATAAATGAGTCTTTAATATTAAAGAACTTTGTTAGTAAACTATACCTGGTCTGACTGTATTGTTTATTGTAAATACTTTGCTATTTACAGACTTACGAGACACAACTACACTAAAGAACGGAAGTCAGTCATGTAACTTGTGACTAGCAAGGTATAAAAGGTGAAACACCAGAACAAATGGCTTCCCTAGGCAAAGGGTTTCTAGGTGGCACAAGTGGTTTGCGCTCCTCTACTAATCTAAAGGATGGCGGTGCATACCCACCCAGCAGTACTGTGGAAGAAAGGACTAGCAGTCTGCTCCATAAAGATTCACCTGTTGCTGTTTAGTCAATTCTAAGTCATGGCAATCCCATGTGTTACAGAGTACAACAGCTCCATAGGGTTTTCTCGGCTGTAATCTTTACAGAAGCAGATTGCCAGGCCTTTCTTCCATGGGCCATTGGATGGGTTCGAACCACACCAACCTTTAGGCTAGTAGACGATCACAAACCACATGCAACAGCCAAGAAAAGTCTACGGAAAAGTTTTACTCTGTAACACATGGGGTTGCCATGAGTCAGAATCAGTTTGATGACAATGGGTTTTTTTTCCTTTCCCCTAGGCAAATGTGTTCCATATACACAATAAGCTTTCATCTCTGCAATGCCGAAAAGGGAATCCAGAGACTAAAGTCTGATGGACCCAAGGCCTCTCAATTCTAAATGCACGTATGCTGTGGTTTCCTTCTTATACCCTTAGCTAATCATTAGTGAAGCTTGGTGCTGCGTAAGGTGTTTCCTTAGTCTGTTAGCTCATCCCTTTGTTATGGTGCCTCTACTGTCCTAAGGGTAACATCAGTTATCAGGAGGGTTCTTGGAAGAGAGAACAACTAAGGTGAGGACAAAAGAGTGGGTAGGAGTGAACCTGACAAAAAAGTAGTGGGAAAGCATTCTAGATGAAGGAACACGTGCCAGGCACTATTATAAGCACTTTATAGTGGAAAAACTTATACTACTAATTCAGAAACCCTGGTCTATAAAAAACATACTTTAGGAACCGCACAGATATAATAATGGCCTCTTTTGGCTCTGTCTTGCCTTCCTGCCTCAGGACCTTGGATTACTATGGGCTTTCTAGCTATTGAAAAAGATTTGGGAGTTTTCATTCTTTCTGAAAGTTCAGATGTGGATGAAAAACAATTTTTTTAAAGTATGTAAAACATGGGTCTTAATAGAATTGACGTTGGGGGTAAAGCCTACTGGTGAATTAATCTTTTCCCACCTCCATCTCCCCATAAGATATCAACCTCTACAAAATTTAATATTCCTATTTGTTATGATTTTAAGGTCTGTGAATCTACCAAATACAAATCATGTAAGTTAATGAGTCTTTTAAAAAATTCCAGTTTATCTTAGAAGGTTGTGATATAGCTGTCACTCACACTTTAGTATTAATCATCCAATCAGATAGCTAACCTCTTAAAACCTGGCTGATTGCTATATTGACTGAATGAACTCATGGTCTGAGAAAGAGAGGAACCATATCACTTTGGATTTTGAAAGATGAATAAGTCTTAGATAAAAAAAATAAAACCAGGAGCTTAGGGTTGTATGAAAACTACCATAAACTGGCACTCAAAATGTGGGAACAATACAGAAGGTGAAAGAAGAAAAAGCAAATAAAATTTGCTTATTTCAAAATGGTCCTACATCTAGAAGAGAATGTTCACCCAGGGTTTGGCACAGGCCATCTTAGCACAGTTTAGCTGACAGCTTATCCCTCTCTGACCACCCCTTAGTGCATGCCAAACTCCTTTATCTAACCCTGCACGACTCCATTAAGACAGTGATTTCCAAACCTGGCCATGCATCTGGATTAAAGAAACAACAAGAGCGCATGGGAAATAGGAAAGAGATTTTAAGAAGATGACAAAAGTAAGTCCCAAATTACCAATAACCACAATAAAAGAGAATGGATTAATTTTCTTATTAAAATATCGGTCTCTCCTATTGAGTTAAAAACTAAGTCCAAGAAACATGTCTAAAACAAACCCGAGAAGGTTAAAAAGGATGGAAAAAGATATACTAAGCAAATGTCAAACTGAAAGCAATGTAATGACATCAATATCAGGCATGTCTTAGTTATCTAGTGCTGCTGTAACAAATATACCACAAGTGGATGGCTATAAAAAAACAGAAATTTATTCTCTCACAGTTTAGTAGGCTAGAAGTCCGAATTCAGGGTGCTACCTACAGGGGAAGGCTTTCTGTCTTTGCCCGCTCTGGGGGAAGGTCTTTGCCTTAAATCTTCCCCTGGTCTCAGGGACCCTGGGTCCAAAGGATGTGCTCTTCTCCTGGCACTCCTTTCTTGGTGGTATGAGGTGCCTATGTCTCTCCGGTTGCTTCTCTCCTTTATATTTCAAAAGACGTTGACTCAAGACACAACCTAATCTAGTAGACTGAGTCCTGCCTCATAAACACAACTGCCTCTAATCTTGCCTCATTAACATCATAGAGGTAGGATTTACGACACATAGGAAAATCACATCAGATCACAAAATGGTGGACAATCACACAATACTGGGAATCGTGGCCTAACCAAGTTGGCATACATTTTTGGGGGACACAATTCAATCCATGACAAGGCAAAACAGAATTTAAGGTGAACAGCATCTGATAAATACAGAATCCTCTCACAAGACAGGTTATGATCCTTCCTAAAAACATGACACAATAAGACAACTAAAAAATATTATACATACAGCAAAAATTGACAGATGTATAAAGAGAGATTGGTAAATCTACAATCTTAGTGGGAGAATTCAATACACTTCCCTCAGAAAGCAAAAGATCAAGTAGATAAAAAAAATAAAGACAACTGAGATTTACACAATATCATCATAACTTTCCCCATGCGTGTGTTGATTTGTTGTACTGTGGTAGCTTGCATGTTGCTGTGTTGCTGGAAGCTATGCCACTAGTATTCAAATACCAGCAGGGTCACCATGGTGGACAGGTTTCAGCTGAGCTTCCAGACTAAGACAGACTAGGAAGAAGGAACTGGCTGTCTACTTCTGAAAAAAATTAGCCGGTGAAAACCTTCTGAACAGCAGCGGAATATTGTCTGATATAGTGCCGGAAGATGAGCCCCTCAGGTTGGAAGGCACTCAAAAGACGACTGGGAAAGAGCTACCTCTTGAAAGTAGAGTCAACCTTAATGATGTGGATGGAATTAAGCTTTTGAGACCTTCATTTGCTGATGTGCACAACTCAAAATGAGAAGAAATAGCTGCAAACATCCATTAATAATCAGAACGTGGAATGTACGAAGTATGAAGCTAAGAAAATTGGAAGTTGTTAAAAATGAAATAGAATGCATACATCTCAATATCCTAGGCATTAGTGAGCTGAAATGGACTGGTATTGGCCATTTTGAATCAGACAATCATATGAGCTACTATGCTGGGAATGACAACTTGAAGAGGAATGGTGTTGCATTCATCCTCAAAAAGAACATTTGACGATCTATCCTGAAGTACAATGCTGTCAGTGATAGAATAATATCCATACACCTATAAGGACAACCAGTTAACATGACTATTATTTAAATTTACACACCAACCACTAAGGCTAAGGATGAAGAAAGTGAAGATTTTTACCAACTTCTGCATTCTGAAATTCATCATACATGCAATCAAGATGCATTGATAATTACTGGTGATTGGAATATGAAAGCTGGAAACAAAGAAGAAGAATCAGTAGTTGGAAAATAAGGCCTTGGTGATAGAAATGATGCTGGAGATCGCACGATTGAATTTTGCAAGACCAATGACTTCTTCATTGCAAATATCTTTTTTCAACAATGTAAACAGTGACTATACAACTGGACCTCACCAGATGGAATACATAGGAATCAAATCAACTACATCTGTAGAAAGAGACAATGGAAAAGTTCAATATCATCAGTCAGAACAAGGCCAGGGGCCAACTGCAGAACAGATCATCAATTGCTCATATGCAAGTTCAAGGTGAAGCTGAAGAAAATTAAAACAAGTCCACGAGAGCCAACATATGATCTTGAGTATATCCCACCTGAATTTAGAGACTACCTTAAGAATAGATTTGACACCTTGAACACTAGTGACAAAAATCCAGAGGACTTGTGGAATGATATCAAGGATATAATACATGAAGAAAGCAAAAATTCATTATAAAGACAGGAAAGAAATAAAAGACCAAAATGGATGTCAGAAGAGACCTTGAAATTTGCTCTTGAACATCAAGTAGCTAAAGCGAATGGGAGAAATGATGAAGTAAAAGAGCTAAACAGAAGATTTCAAAGGGCAGCCAGAGATGTCAAAGTAAAGTATTTTGATGACATGTGCAAAGACCTGGAGTTAGAAAATCAAAACAGAAGAACACACTTGGCATTTCTCAGGCTGAAAAAACTGAAGAAAAAATTCAAACCTCGAATTGCTATATTGAAGGATTCTACAGGAAAATGTTGAACGACACAGGAAGCATCAAAAGAAGATGGAAGGAATACAACAGAGTCACTGTACCAAAAAGAATTTGTTGACATTCAACCATTTCAGGAGACAGCATATGATCAAGAACTAATGGTATTGAAGGAAGAAGTCCAAGCTGCACTGAAGGCATTGGCAAAAAACAAGGCTCCAGGAAATGACAGAATACCAATTGAGATGTTTCAACAAATGGATGCGGTGCTAGAGGTACTCAGTTGTCTAGGCCAAGAAATTTGGAGGACAGCTGCCTGACCAACCGACTGGAAAAGATTCATATTTGTGCCCATTCCAAAGAAAGGTGATCCAACAGAATGCATAAATTATGGA